CCAAAAAATGAAGTTGGACCTTCTAAAATGAAAGGGAGGGAGTTGCAGATTGAAACTTCTGCGAAAACATTATGGCTGAAAGTTACACTTCTCCAAGCTGAAAATTGTGGTTTGGGGGTTAGAATCTTCAAAATCTGGTTTGAAACCTTCTCATTTTGCGAACCATTTTTTTATACAGAAAAAAGACATTGGAGGAAGAAGCTGCAGCAAAACATCAAACAGATCGATCGAGCAAGCGAGAATGGAGGTCGTGACCGGGGCAATGAGCACCCTCCTGCCCATGCTCGGCGACCTGCTCAAGGAGGAGTACAACCTGCAGAAGAGAACCAGGGGTGAGATCAAGTTCCTTAAAGCCGAGCTGGAGAGCATGGAAGCTGCCCTCATTAAAGTTTCCGAGGCACCCGTGGATCAGCCACCCGACATCCAGGTCAAACTCTGGGCAAGGGATGTCCGGGATCTGTCCTATGAAATTGAAGACAACGTTGACAAATTCCGGGTGCATCTTGATTGTCGGGAACAAAAGAAACCTCGTAGCTTCATGGGTTTCATCCACAAAACCATGGACATGCTGACAAGGGGCAAGATCCGACACAAGATAGGCATTGATATCAAAGTCATCAAGAGACGCATCAAGGAGGTCAGTGAGAGGTGGGAAAGGTATAAAGTTGACAGTGTTATGCCCAAGCCCACTGGCACAAGTACTGATACCCTTCGCCAGTTAGCCCTGTTCAAAAAAGTGACGGAGCTTATTGGCACCGAAGAGAAGAGCCTTGACATAGTCAGAATGCTCACAGAGGGAGATGGGATAATCAAGAAATAGCTGAGGATGATCTCTATTGTTGGCTATGGAGGCCTAGGGAAGACAACTCTTGCTAATGTGGTGTATGAGAAGCTCCGAGGGGAATTCGACTGTGGAGGTTTCGTTTCTGTATCTCTTAATGTTAACATGCAAAAGGTTTTCAAGAGCTTGCTGCATCAACTTGGCAAGGAAAAGTACAATAACATCATGGACAAATCAACATGGAGTGAAATACAACTCATAAGTGAGATAAGAGATTTCCTTCGAGACAAGAGGTATGTGTTGTATGCTAGTTTTGCTGCCAATCCAAGTTATGTGTGCACTTAATATGTACACTCGGACATTATTTCCTACTCCCTCCGTTCTCGGAAAAAAGTATTTCTTTACCCTCAATTTGAAAAGTATTTCTTTGCCCTCAATTTGATCCGTGTCCTCAATTAACTAAAGAAACATGGCGCGCCGCTCCATGGGCGGCATGGCCTGAATGGCCCGTCAATTACTCCGGCATTATAGGCACACCAATCTGAGCTACTGAATCAAACCAAGTAGAAGTACTATCATACTAAGGTAAGCCGTGGAGATCTGCATAGGGGTCACATAAGTGCACCCTTAAATTTTAGAACAAACTGAAAAAACATAGGCACATTTTTTCAAGAATAGAGGCTGCATGCCTAGAGTATGACAAACTGAAGTATTATCTATAATCTATGACACACGCGCGCGCGCGCACACACACACACACACACACAATACGAATATACCTCTCCAAAAACACTATAATGCTATACAATGCCTAGAGTATGTCTAACAAGAAATAATAGACATAAAGCAGAGTCTATATCTAGGATTTCAATTCTTCTAGAAAGAAAAAAACAGATATATTTGTAGTTAAATATCCCAATTTTGTACTAAAAACTATATGGTTCCTAAGCTAAAATTTATAATGTTATAAATTAAGAATAAATAAAAATGTTTCTATTTTTTCCATCCTAATATTACTATATTTCTTTTTTTTTGTACTTGGAGGATTCTCTCTACAAATTAGATGTAAGTTCAATATTGGCATCATATCTTTCGGCAGCACTTCCCCTGTATAAGGAACGTCCACAAGAAACAATCTGATGTCATAATACTTTCACAGGTATACACCTAAAATAGTGAACATAGGCAATAGCAAGCGCATGCTACTGAGTCTGGTTGTTAAAATGAGGATTAGATTTTTAAATTCCATTTTCCACCTCTTAGGTTTTCAGTTTGCAAATTCCCACTTAGGAACACATACATGTCTTCCACAATTTAGGGTTAACTTATTTATGGGGCGTTTCAACCATCCTCAATTTCCTTGTTGTGTTGTGATCCAAAGCCTAACTTTTGACGGAGCGGAGCGGTGCCCGTCGCCGGGAGGCTTGGGCAGTAGTGGATATATACCTCTTGTATGCCATCGCACGAGATAAGATCATCGTTGTAAATCACCGGCGTTCGTAATATCTCCTGATATAGTGAAGTTTCGCTGGCTAGTGATCATGGATTTTATCCTTCGAATTGAAGGGGTTTTCCACGTTAAAAATCTTGTGTCCTCTGTGTTGATTTGATCTTCATCATTTTTTATTGCCTGTCATTTAACATTCCTGATTATTATTGCATTACCATTTCAATTAGGTAGTTTAATACTTTATCTTTTAATTTATACATGGTTTTTTCCCTCAGGTATTTTATTATTATTGATGACATATGGGATAAATCTACATGGAGAAGTATTAGATGTGCTTTGATTGAAAATGAATGTGGTAGTAGAGTAATCACAACAACGCGCATTCTGGATGTTGCCAAAGAAGTTAGTGGTGTTTATCAGCTTAAACCACTTTCTACTGTTGACTCAAGAATGTTATTCTACCAAAGAATATTTGGAACCAGAGACAAGTGTCCACCTATTCAGTTGGCTGAAATAGGTGAGAACATTTTACGGAAATGTGGTGGAGTACCATTAGCTATCATTACATTGGCTAGTATGTTGGCTAGTAAAAAGGAACATGAAAATACATATACATATTGGTCCAAGGTGTACCAATCTATGGGTTCTGGGCTAGAAAATAATCCTGACCTGAAGGACATGAGGAGGATACTATATGTCAGTTACTATGACCTACGTCCAAAACTGAAGACTTGTTTACTGTATCTAAGTTTGTATCCAGAGGATTATGGTATTAAAAACAAAGACTTGATATGGAAATGGATAGGTGAAGGATTTGTTCATGAAGAGCAGGGAAAGAGCTTGTATGAAGTAGGAGAAGATTACATTGATGAGCTCATTAACAAAAGCTTGATTCAACCAATGGATATCAGTATTGCTAATAAGGCGAGCTCTCTCCGTGTACATGACATGGTTCTTGACCTTATCACTTCCTTATCATATGAGGAGAACTTCCTTGCAACATTGGGTAGTCAGCAGACCAGGTCGCTACCAAGTAAGATCCACCGATTATCTCTCCAAACCAGGAATGAGGATGATGCCAAGCAAATGCCAACCATGAGCAGCTTGTCACATGTGAGATCACTTACTGTGTTTAGTAGAGACCTTAGTTTGTTGTCAACACTGTCAGGTTTTCTTGTCCTACGTGCATTGGATTTAAGTGGTTGTAAGGAAGTGGGTAACCATCATTTGAAGGATATTTGCAATTTATTTCTCTTGAGGTATCTGAGTCTAAAAGGGACATCTGTCACTGAGATCCCGAAAGAGATAAGCAATCTACAGCTTCTGCAAGTGCTAGACATAAGGTCCACCATACTGAAAAAATTGTCGTCAACCTTTGTTCAGCTAAGACAACTGGTGTTCATTGACGCGGCTAATAAGAAGGTCTCTACATCGCTTCTAAAAGTGATGTCCACCTTGCCTTCCCTCTCTTCCCTTGCAATCGGATCAACAAGACTGAGTGAGGAAGACCTCCAAATACTTGGAAACATGCCGTCTTTGCGTGACCTTTACATATATGTAGTGTATTGGGGAGAAGGCGCAGATAAAAGGTTAGTCATTGACAATGGTTGTCCCTTCCGGTCCCTGACAAGATTTAGAATAAACTGCAGCGCCATTGGTTTCATGTTTGCACAAGGGACCTTCCAAAAGCTCCAGATCCTGGAGTTGGATTTTGATTTTGAGAGAACAAATGACCAATTTGGTGTTCAATTTGAGCTGGAGAACCTCTCTTCACTTGAGCATGTCTATGTGTTGGTTCACGGTAATGAAGGTGAGATGATCAAGGCACTTCAGAAAGTTCTTGATATTAATCCCAACAAGCCCACATTGACGGTGAAGGTAACTCTACGCTGATTCACACTTGCAAGCAACATGCTTAGTAGTTGAATACGTTAGAAACTTAATTAGAGTTACTTGTCTGCCCTTTAATACATGTATACTGATTCTTACTCCATTTGGGTCTTGGCACTACAAGTACTAGTTCAGTCCGCGCAGCTTCATAGGCTAGTGAATTTAAAATGTGAAATTTTCATTCATGTTGATGTTGCGCCAAAAAATCCAAAAATTTATCCACACATGGTAGTACCTGTGTGATGTTGATCTGCAATGTTTCGAGTTCAAATGTTCATTTATTCAGGGGAAAGAAAAAAGAGAATTTTCTTGCATGAACTTTGATGCATTAATGGACGGTGGGGATAGAGGGTACACTGGTATTGGGGTACAACCAGAACATTCCCTTCATTTTATTTAGTTTTGCCCATTAACTTTTATTTAAAAATAAAATAGTTATTGGTAATATATATGTAAGCTGCACTATTTTAACCTTATGGTACCTTCTAAATTCTGAATATATTATCTTTTCTCTTCCCATAATGGTTTCACATTGTTTTTCAAGTTTATTTGTCTGTCTGGAGCGAGGGAAATGAGGATTCTGGATAATGAAATTTAGTGGAATCTGAAATATGAAACTCTATGAAGCTCTTGGAATGTTTCTGCTAATATTTCTTTTTTGTTCCACAGCACTATAAGAAATCAGCAAAAAATGACTCGAGGATAATATCGGTGATACAAAGTGGTACGGTACAGAATCCTCTTTAAGCATTGCATTCAGTTTAAGTGAATAGTTGTGTCATGTTGCAGCAAGGATTGTAAAATCATGCACATATTCTGTTAAATTTTGACTATCATGTCTTAGGTTTGATAAGAGTGGTAGACACATATTAAATTTTTTATAAGATGCCGTAAATGTTTGGGTCATAAACTGTTTTAGAAACTATCGCAAATTTCCATACAGAATATTGTAAAAAACTAGGAGTTTGTAGATTAAGTTATTCTACTCCTACTCCCTTCGTGAAGGCGTTGCTGCTGAAGACCTTCGTTGTCCATGTGATGTCATGAGTTGGTTGGTACGGATATGGTCATTGTTGTAGTTTGTCGATCGTGATCTGATCGCTTTGGGGGTCTTCTCCTTTTCCTTTTACTCGCCAACGCATAGCTTCGGTCTTACACGACTTTGCTATCTGTAGGCATTTTTTGTATGTGTGTATGCGTTTGTTGGTATTGGTTGTGTGCATCCTAGTTATGCAGAGGCTGGGTGTGTGTTCCTTGTGTTTGTATCTTCTTGATGCTCCATTTGAGTGAAACAAAACCACCTTTTATTGGAAAAAAAGTTATTCTACTCCTAGTGTTTCTGTTGGAATGAATTGTTACAGAATTCAAAATGATTATTCCTAAGAACTTGAGATTTCTGAAGAAAAAAAATCATGTGCACGGGAACTATCTAATTCATTCTTGGTTGGTGCAGGGGTGCTGTCCGTAGAGGAATAACCAGATATGAGGTGTTTCCCACCGGAGGAGAGATCACTCTTGAAGGAAAGCCTTTTTGGGCACCAAGGAGAGATTTCGGAAATGCACTGGTTATTATTCAATCATCATATTGGTTCCTTCCCGTTTGTAAAGGCAACTATAGAGCGTTCTGGTGACGTAGACATACTCAGCATTGTCTAAATAATTAATTGGTGGATCAGGCGATCTGTGCCAATTAATGCAC